AGTGGTTTATGTCTAAGGGATTTGTGCACAGTTACATAGTAAGGTTGACAAATTCAGAAAGAGAAAGTGGCGCACTGTAGTCACTTACCATGAATCTGTAGTGGAAAGGATCTCTCAACCTCGAGGAGTATCCTTGAGAGGCATCCCTGCTCAAGGGGAGATCCTGGCAGGCAGCCCGCTGCCATGCAAGGAGAGCTCAATGGGCTTTTGGGCTGTCCCCGTATTTATAGGATAAGATGATTGACTGATAGTCATTCTTTCAATTCAGAAATGACTGTTGGCTGGTGTACTCACAGTTAGCCTTATCTCCCCATCAGGACAGGGCCATCAGGACTGTTATTGATGGTTAATGTCTGGGTGGGGGAAGAAATCAGGGAGGCAACTACCAGGATCAGATAATGTGGCAGTTAACACCTGAACAGGGCTATGTGTGGGAAGTCAGGATGAGTTGAGGAAGGAGCATATCCGTCCTCTCTCTGTCGTCGTTGTCGTCTCTCTCTCTCTCTCGCGTCATCCTCTCGTTGTTCTCTCTCATCCTCTTTCTCTCACCGTCTTCTCTCTCTATTCGTCGTTTCTCTCTCGCGCGTCATCCTCTCGGTGTCTTTTCTTTTTCTCTTGTCCTCTCTTTCGTCTCTCTCTCTCTCTCTTGTCCTCCTCTATCTCTCGTCCTCCTCTCTCTGTCCCTCATTGTTCTCTCTCTCTCTTTCGGCGTCCTCTCTCTTTCTCTTTCTCTTTCAGTGTCCTCTCTTTCTCTGTCCTCGTCCTCCTTCTCTCTCTCTCTCGGCGTCTTCTCTCTCGGCATCCTCTTTTTCTTTTTCTTGACGTCCTCTCTCCCTCTTTCTTTCTCTCTCTCCCTCTTTCTTTCTCTCCCTCTCTCCCCCTTTTTCTTTCTTTCTCTCTCGTCATCCTCTTTCTCTCGTGGTCTTCTCTCTCTCGGCGTCCTCTCTCTTTCTCTCTGTCGACGTCCTCTCTCTCTCGGAGCTCTCTCTCTCGGCTTCCTTTCTCTCTTATCCTCTCTCTCGCCTCCCTCTCCCTCTCTCTCATCCTTCTGTATTTCTCGTCGTCCTCTCTCTGTCTCTCAATGTTCTCTCTCTCTCTCTCTCTCAGCATCCCCTCTCTTGCTATTCTCCCTAGCTGTGCCCTCTCTCTCACTCATCCTCCCTCTCTCTCTCGTCGTCCTCCCTCTCTCTCTCATCTTCCTCTCTCGCTCGTCGTCCTCTCTCTCTCGTAGTGCTCTCTCTCTCGCACGTCGTCCTCTCTCTCATTGTTCTCTCTCGTTGTTCTCTTTGTCTCGCCGTCTTCTTTCTCTCTTCATCCTTTCTCTCTCGTCGTTCTCTCTCTCTGCATCTTTTCTTTCTCTCTCTTCCTCTTTCTCGTCTCCCTCTCTCTCTGTCGTCCTTCTGTATCTCTCGTCGTTCTCTCTCTGTCTCTCGACGTTCTCTCTCTCTTTCGGCGTCCTCTCTCTCTCTTTCTCTGTCGTCGTCCTCCTCCTCTCTCTCTCTCTCTCTCTCTCTCTCGTTCTCCTCTCTCGGCATCCTCTCTATCAGCGTCCTCTTTTTCTTTTTCTCGGTGTCCTTTCTCTCCCTCTCTTTCTCTCTCCTCCTCTTTCTTTCTCTCTCCCCCTCTTTCTTTCTCTCTCTTTCTCTCTCATCATCCTCTTTCTCTCGTGGTCTTCTCGCTCTCGTTGTCCTCTCCCTCTCACTCTCGTCATCCACTCTATCTCGTCATCCTCTCTCTCTTGTCATCCTCTCTCTCTGTCGACGTCCTTTTTCTCTCTCTGAGTCCTCTCTCTCTATCGTTCTCTCTCTCGTCGTCCTTTCTCTCTCATCATCCTTTTTCTCTCTCGTTCTCTCTCTCGGCGTCCTCTTTTTCTCTCACATACTCCTTTCCCTTTCTCTTATCATTCTCTCTTGTCGTCCTCTCTCTTTCTCTCTCTTTTTTTGTTCTCTCTCTCTCGTTCTCTCTCTCGTTCTCTCTCTCCTCTCTCTTCATTCTTTCTCTCCCTCTGTCTCATCATCCTCTCTCGTCCTCCTCTCTTCCTCTGTCTCGTTTTCCTTTCTCTCTCTCTATCTCTAGTCGTGTCCTCTCTCTCAGTCCTCTCTAGCTGTGCCCTCTCTCTCGTCGTCCTCTCTATCATTCTCTCTCTTGTCGTCCTTTCTCTCTCTCTCATCGTCCTTTTTCTCTCTCATCCTCTCTCTCGTCGGCCTCTCCCTCGTCACCCTCTCTCATCGTTTTCTTTCTCTCTCGGCATCCTCTCTCTCTCAGTCTTTTTTCTTTCTCTTGTTGTTCTCTCTCTCTCTTCTTCTCTCTCTTTTGTTGTCCTCTCTCTCTCATCCTCTCTCTCCTCTTCTTTCTCTCTCCCTTTCTGTCTCATCGTTCTTTCTCTCATTCTCCTTTCTCTCTCTCTCTATCTCTAGTTGTCCTCTCTCGTCGTCCTCTCTCTCTCTCTCATTGTCCTTTTTCTCTTGTTGTTCTCTCTCTCTCTTCATTCTCTCTCTCGTCATCGTCGTCCTCTCTCACTGTCATCGTTCTCTCTCTTGTCGTCCTCCCTCTCATCGTCTTTCTCTCTCGTTGTCCTCTCTCTCTCATCGTCGTCATCTTTCTCTCTCGTCATCCTCTCTCATCGTCCTCTCTCTCTCATCGTCGTCTCTCTCTCATCTTTCTCTCTCGTCGTCCTCTCTATCATCGTCGTCTTTCTCTCTCGTCGTCCTCTCTCTCATCGTCTCCTCTCTCGTTGTCCTCTCTCTCATCGTCGTCATCCTCTCTCTTGTCGTTGTCCTCCCCCTTTCGTCATCCTCCCTGTCTCATCGTCATCTCTCTCGTTGCCCTCTCTCATCGTCTTTTTCTCTCTCGTCATTTCTTTCTCGTCGTCCTCTCTCTCTCTCGCTCGTCGTCCTCTCTCTCGCTCGTCGTCCTCTCTCTCTCGCTCGTCGTCCTCTCTCCCTCGCTCGTCGTTCTCTCTCTCTCGTCGTCCTCTCTCGCTCGTCATTCTCTCTCTCTCGCTCGTCGTTCTCTCTCGCTCATCATCCTCTCTCTCTCGTCCTCCTCTCTCTCTCATCGTCCTCTCTCTCGTTGTTCTCTCTCTCGTTGTTCTCTCTCTCTCGTCATCCTCTCGTTCTCTCTCATCGTTCTCTCTCTCGTCATCCTCTCTCATCATTCTCTCTCTCTTCGTCCTCTCTCTCGTCCTCTCTCACTGTCATCGTCCTCCTCTCTCTCGTCCTCCTCTCTCTCTCTCTCGTCCTCCTCTCTCTTGCTGTCATCCTCCTCTCTCTCTTTCTTGTCTTTTCTCTCTCTCTCTCGTCGTCTTTCTCTCTCGGCGTCCTCTCTCTCATCGTTGTCGTCCTCTCTCTCTCTCGTCGTCCTTTCTCTCTCTCTCTTGTCGTCCTTTCCCTCTCTCATCGTCGTCCTCTCTCTCTCTCATTGTCGTCCTCTCTCTCTTTCTTTTCATCCCCTCTTTCTTTTCATCCCCTCTCTCGCGTCGTCTTCTCTCTCTCCCTCGTCATCCCCTCTCTCTCTCATCGTCCCCCCTCTCTCGTCATTCTCTGTCTCTCATTGTCCTCTCTCTCATCCTCTCTCTCCCTTGTCGTCCTTTCTTGTCTTCCTTTTTCGTCATCCTCTTTCTTCATCCACTGTCTCTCGCTCTCTCGTCCTCTCTCACTCTGTGGTTGTCCTCGCTCTCTCATCATCCTCTCTTGCTCTCTCGTCATCCTCGCTCTCTTTTGTCGTCCTTGCTCTCTCTCAGCGTTCCATCTCATCGACCTCTCTCGTCATTGTATCTCTCGTTGTTCTCTCTCTCTTGTCGGCTTCTCTCGTCCTCTCTCATCCTTCTCTCTAGTCCTCTCTTTCTCTCATTGTCTTTTCTCATCCTCTCTCTCTCATCGTTTTTCTCTCACTCTCTCTTTTCGTCCTCTCTCTCTCGTTGTCCCCTCTGTCTTTTTTTCCCCTCTCTTTCTCTCATCGTCCTTCTCTCTCGTTGTCCTCTCTCTCATCGTCGTCTCTCTCATTGTCCTCTTTCTCTCGTCTTTTCCTCTCTCGTCGTTTCTTTCCTGTCTTCTCTCTTTCTCTCTCTCGTTGTCCGCTCTCTCTCTCGTCGTCTCTTTTGTCGTCTCTTGCTCTCTCGTCGTCCTCTCTTGTCATCCTCTCTCTCATCGTCCTGTTTCTCCCTCCTTTGTAATCCTCTTTCTCGTTCTTCCAATCTTTCTCTCATCATCTTCTCTCTCTCTCTCTCTCTCTCCTTCCTATTTCTCCCTCCCTCATTTTCCTCTTTCTCGTTCTCTCTCTCCCTCTCGTTCTTCCAATCCCTTTTTCCTCGTCCTCTCTCTCTCACTGTCCTCTCTCTCTCTTCTCTTCTCTCTCTCTCATCTTTCTTCCAATCTATCTCTCGCCATCTTTTCTCTCGACGCCCTCTCTTTTACGCACATTGTCCTCTCCCTCATGTTTCATCCTCTCTCATTCATCATCCTTTCCCCCCATTGTCCTCCTCCTCTTTCTCCTGTTGTCCTTTCTTTGTCTCTCAACATCCTCTCTCTCAACATCCTCTCTTGTCTTCTCTCGTCATTGTTATCTCTCTATTGTTATTTCTTTCTCTGTCATCCTCTCGCTTTCTCTTGTTCTCACTTTCTCTCTACATCCTCTGAGTTCTCTCTTCATCCTCTCCCTCTCTCTTTCTTGTTGTCCTCACTCTCTCTTTCTCTACATCCTCTCTCATCATCTTCCCCCCTCTCTTTTGTTATCCTATCCCTTTCTCTCATCATCACTCTATGTCCTCTCTTGGCATTCTCTCTCCCCTCTCTACATTCATCATCCTCTCTATCTCTCGGCGTTCCTCTCTCTTTGTCGGCCTCTCTTTTTGTGCTTCACACGCTCTCTTTTTTCTTCTCTCTCTTGTAGTCCTCTCTCTCTGCCATCCTCTTTCGCTCTCTGTTGTCATGTTTTGCGCTCTGTCGTCATATTTCTATTTGTTGTCCTCTTTCTCTTGTTCTTTTCCTTCTCTCTCTCTGTCATTCTTTCTCAGTCATTCTCTCTGTCATCCTCTCTCATTGCAATCTCTCCTTCTGTTATGCTCTCTCTGTTGTGCGTGCGCTCTTGTCTGCTCTCACTTGGCTGCTCTCTCTCATTGTTTGCTCTCTCTCATCATTTGCTCTCTCTGTCATTCTCTCCCTCTCTCTGTCATCGTCGTCTCCCTCTCTCTGTCATCCCCTCTCTTCATTCTCTCTCATATTTTTCTCTCTCATCATTCTCTGTTATCATGTCGTCACCGCCCTCTTGATGTTCTCTGTCTTGTCGTTCTCTTTGTCGTCCCCTTAGTCTTTCTTGCTTTCCCGTCTCTCTCTGTCACTGTTTTTCTGTGTCATCTCTTTCTTATCCTCACTCTCTCGTTGTCCTCTGTCAGCATCTCTCTCTCATGGTTCTCTGTCACCCCCCTTGTTCTCTCTCTCTCTTTCTTGTTGTCGCCTCTCTGTCTATCGTTGTCATTCCTATGTCATCATCTCTGTCATCGTCTCTCTCTCGTCGCCTCTCTCTCATCATTCTCTCTGTTTCGTCCTCTCTCTCTCTCTCACCCCCTTTCTCTCTTCTGTCGTGCCTTCTCTCCTGTTGTCCTCTCTCCCTCTCTTGTCGGTCTCTCTCTTTCATGTCCTCTCTCTCTGTTGTCCTCTCTCTCTCTTTCTGTCATGATCTCTTTCTTTAGCGTCCTCTGTCATCATCTATCTATCTTTCGTCTTCTCTCTCTCTTGTCGTCCTCTCTGTCTTGTCGTGCTCTCTCTCTCTAAAATCGTCCTCCCTTTCTCTCTCGTTATCCTCTTCTCGTTCTCTCTCTCTCTTTCTCTCTCTCTCTGTCGGCCCTTCTTTCTCTTTTGTCAGCCTCTCTTGTTGCCCTTTCTCTCTATCTCTCTCTCATCATCCTGTCAGCTGCATTCTCTTTCTATCATCCTTTCTCTCTCTCTTCTTGTCCCCTCTCTGTCACCCTCTCATCATCTTCTCTCTCTCTCTGTCAGCTGCCTCTCTCATCGTGCTCTTTCTCTCTCATCCTTTCTCTTTTGTCGCCCTCTTTCTCATCATCCTCTCTCTCTGGCACTTGCACTCTTTGTCCTTTCTTTCAGCCTCTCTCTTTGTCCTCTCACTTTCTCATTGTGCTCTGCCTCTCTCTGTCATTCTTTCTCTGTCTTCATTGTCTCTTTCTCATTCTCTTTGTCATCCTCTATCGTCTCCTCCCTCTCATCATCCTCTCTCTCGACGTCCTTTCTTGTCATTGTCCCTCTGTCATCATTCATCTCTCTGTCATCCTCTCCCTCTCTCAGCGTCCTCTCTCTTCCTCTCAGCATCCTCTCTCTTCCCCTCTCAGCATCCTCTCTCTCGTCTTCTCCTTCTTTGTCTTTCATCATCCTACCCTTTTCTCTCATCATCGTCACTCTCTCTATGTCTTCTCTCGGTGTTCTCTCTCCTCTCACTATGTTATCTCAGCATCCTCTCTTTCTCTTGGTGATGTTGTCTTCTCTCTCTCTCTCTAGCATCCTCTCTTTTTCTCTCTGGCATCCTCTCTCTCTCGGGGTCCTCTCTCCCTCTCATCGTTCTCCCATTCCCTCTCTCTTGTCGTCCTCTCCCTCTCTTGTGGTTCTCTCCCTCTCATCATTCTTCCACTCTCTCTTCCCCCATACTCTCTCTCGTTTGCTCTGTCATCCTCTCTCTCTCTGTCGTTCTCTCTCATCTTCTCTCATCGTTCTCTTGTTGTTCTCTCATCCTCTCTCTGTCATCCTTTCTCTCTTTCTGTTGTCTTCTCTCTTTCTGTTGCCCTCTCTCTGTTGTCCTGTTTTGCTCTCTCGTCCTCTCTCTCGTCTTTTTTTTTTTTTTTTTTTGCCCCACCGTGTCTCCCCGGGTGCTTTTTTTTGGGGTTTTTTTTGTGTTTGTATCCTTTCTGTCGTCTTGTACGTGCATGTCTTTTCATGTACCTCTTTTTCTCTTTTCCTGTGTGTCTGTCTTTTCATGTCCCTTTTTGTGTCCTTTTTTTTTCTTTGGCTTTTTGTGTCTGCTTTTTTTTGACTTTTCACGTGTTTCTTCACAGCTCTTCATGTCTCTTTTTTTTTGTCTCTTCATGTGTCTCTTGGCTTTTCGCCTCTCTTCGCATCTGTCTTTTCATGTCTTTCTGGATCTCTTTTGTATTTTCATGTGTGTCTTTTTTTTTGCTTCATGTGTCTTTTTTTGTCATTTCATGGGTCCTTTATTTTTTGACTTTTCGAGTCTCTCTTTGCATCTGTTTTTTCACGTCTCTGCATATCTCTGCATCTCTGTCTTTTTGTGTGTCTCTGTGTGTGTGTCTTCTTTTTTGGCTTTTCATGTCTCTCCATGTGTCTGTTTTTTCATGTGTGTCTTTTTGTCTTTTCGTGTCTTTTTTCATGTCTCTGTTTTTGTCTCTCTTTTTTGTCTTTTCATTTGTCCCTCTTTTTTTATGCCTTTTCGTGTGTATGTCTCTTTTTTTTGTCTTTTCATGTGCGCCTCTCATTTTTGTCTTTTCACATCTCTGTTTTTTGTCTTTTCGTTACTCCACTTTTCATGTGTTTTTTTTTTTTTTTGTCTTTTCATGTGTCTCTTCGTGTGTGTCTTTTTTGGCTTTTTGTGTGTCTGACTTTTCGCACCTCTTTTTGTCTTTTCGCATATCGTCGCATCTTTTTGGCTTTTCACGTCTCTCCCTTTTTTGCCTTTTCGTGTCTTTCTTTTTGTGTGTCTCGTTTTTTCATGCATCTCTCTTTTTACCTTTTCCTGTGTGTGTGTGTGTGTGTGTCTCTTTTTTGTCTTTTCATGTGTGTCTCTCTCTTTGTCTTTTGTGTCTCTTTTCATGTCTCTCTCTTTGCATCTTTTTTTGTCTTTTTCTGTCTTTTCGCATCTTTTTTGGCTTTTTGTGTCTCTGGCTTTTGTGTGTCTCCTTTTTTGGCTTGTCATCTCTCTCCTTTTTTGGCTTTTCGTGTCTCACTCTTCATGTGTGTGTCTTTGGGTTTTTTTTAGCCGTGTGTCTTTTTTTTTTTTTTTTTTTGTTCTTGCATCTCTCCATCTCTCTTTTTTTGTCTTTTTGTGTCTGTGTCTCTTCGTGTCTCTCTGTGTCTCTTCTTTTGGCTTTTCACGTGTCTCTTGGCTTTTCACGTGTCTCTTGGCTTTTCACGTGTCTCTTCTTTTGTGTGTCTCTCTTGTCTTCTCCTGTGCCTCTCTGTGTAGCTCGTGTGTCTCCATTTCATGAATTTTTTTAGTCTTTTCGTGTGTCTCTTTTCGTGTCCCTTTTTGTGTCTTTTTTTTTGTTTCTCTGTGTCTTTTTCTGTCTTTTCATATCTCTTCATCTTTTCTTTCTTTTCAGTGTGTGTTTTACGTGCCTTTTTTTTGTCTTTTCCTGTCTCTTCATGTCTCTTGTGTCTTTCTGTCTTCTTCCTCTAGAGATAGGTAGAGTTGGTTAAAATTTATTTTCTCTTGTTCTTTTTCAAATGCTCAGAGAAAGGAGTATATGATGGGAAGACTATCAGAGGTGGGTTGCCTTTTGCATTTGAGGGTGGCTAGATTTCTTTGTTGTTGATGAACACTTTTTTTAAAATATCTGAATAGGTTGCATTTTTGTTAGCATAAAGGCTTTTATGGGATATATTAATTTGTGATCCTAAATCAGGTGTGTGTGTGTTTTTCTATTTAATCTAAGCACCCAATTCTCATGTTAACTTAGCCTAGTTTAATTGATTTAAGAGTTTTTTAGTTAAGGTTTTGTTTTGTATCAGACTGTGGTGACTTCATTTTCTGCTTGCTCACCTCTCAGAGTAAGAGACTAGGATGGAGTTGTTTGATATTTGTTACTTGTGTTTTTGAAATGCGTGGGTAACAGTAAGTAATGATGTAGATATTTGTAGTAAACAAACGGGATATAAATAACTGCATAAAAAAAATGTATGCTGCTAATACTCAGAGCTGTTGCAATCTACCATGAGTTAGTAGCACGTATTTTGTCACTGATTTAGTTACGAAGACTTGTACAGTAATTATTTAAAGAAAAGAAGAGCAAGCCTGGTAGCTCTTTGAAGGCCTTAGACAAGATTTAAAACTGGATTCAGAAGGCTTGAGGGTGATGGAAGGAGTCAACAGGATGGAAGAAGGGGCATGGTCCAGGAACTAAGGTGGTGATCAAATGAGCCATGTGGATTAGTCTTCCAAACTTTTTTTTTTTTTAAACTAAAATGGTAGTTAAGCATTGACCCTTTGGAAGGAATTCCCATGGTTATAGGTCAGCAACAGAAGGTCAGTTCTTCTGTGTGCTCTGTCAGTGGCTGGTGATGGTCTCCATGAATATTGACACCACTGGTGTTGGACCATTTGGTAGTCTCTTGGTTCTTTCTTTCCACACCAAGGAAAGAGTATAACTTAAAAGACACGATGTAAGTATAAACTAATCCTTTCCTCCTATCATAGAATCATAGAATCATAGAATGCTTAGGGTTGGAAGGGACCTCTAGAGATCATCTAGTCCAACCCCCCTGCACACGCAGGGTCACCTAGAGCACGTGGCACAGGACTGCGTCCAAGCGGGTTTTGAAGATCTCCAGAGAAGGAGACTCCACAACCTCTCTGGGCAGCCTGTTCCAGGGCTCTGTCACCCTCACTGTCAAGAAATTTTTCCTTAAGTTCCTGTGGAACTTTTGGTGCTTCAGTTTGTGGCCATTACCTCTAGT